CGCAATCCCTTCTCCTCCATTCTCCTCTCGGGATCTTGGGCACGCACACACACGCGCCCGGCGTGAGTTTTAAGCCACCGGGTCTGGGACTCAAACTGCGGTCGACTACGTGGGAGTCCAGCAACATAGCCATTATGCTAGCTGCTGGTCCCACTGGTAGGCTTTCTGAGAGTCCAGCTGCAGGAAGGAGAGCTGGGGACAGAGCTTAGGGCAGTTGCTGCCAGGTCTGCCTGTCCTCTCGGGTCACAAGGGCATTGCCAACATGTGCTTCCTTCCTGACTGGCCTTGCACCCCAGACCATATGACTTTTGGCTCTGGAAACCCCTGGCCCTGGTCCCATGGACCAAGTCAGTCTGGGTCTCCATTTCAAATGGAGAGAGGGCCAGAGGGGTGGATTCACTTAGGGTCGACAGTAACACCTCCAAGACAAGGTGTGGGGTCTGCCCTAATCACTGGTCCCAGGAGACAGAGACGGGCAGGGTGTTACAGCTGTCTGGAGCCCTCCCCTTACCTTTTCTCTCTGCAGATGCCGGTGGTGGGAGCCGGAGTGCTGGTCAGCACTGGGCGAAGCTGCGAGGAGAAAGTGGATACTTCTCGCTGGAGCGGCCCCGGGCGGCACCGGCCCAGGCTTCCTGTGCACCGCCACAGAGTGGACACCGAGGCACCATCCACCAAGCTTCCCCTGCCCAGGCAGCTTCTGCACCACGCGACACCCCCCGGGCCTCCTCTCCTTCCCGAACCACCCAAAGGGACAAACCCTGGATGCCATCCACTCAGCATGACACTCCCAGGACCTCATCCACACAACAGAACACCCCCAGAGCTTCTTCTCCCTCAAGAATCACCCAACGGGATAACCCCAAAACCTCTTCTACACAACGGAGCAGTCAACTATCCTCTCCCCCAAGAACCACCCAAGACAATCCCAAAACCTCTTCAATCCAACTGGACAACCTCCAAACCTCTTTTCCTACTTGTACTCCCCATCGGGGAAACACCAGAACATCCTGTGCTCAACAGGACAACCCCAGAGCCTGCTCTCCCAACCAAGCCACCCAACGGGACAACCTCAGGACATCCTATGCTCAACAGGACAACCCCAGAGCCCCCTCTCCCAACCGAATGACCCAACGAGACAAACCAAGGATGTCCTGTGCCACACGGGACAACCCCAGAGCCCCCTCCCCCAACCAAAAGACCCAACAGGACAACCCCAGGCCCTCGTCTCCCAACCGAACGATCCAACAAGACAAACTCAGGACATCCTGTGGCCAACGGGACAACCCCAGAGCTTCCTCTCCCCACCGAGCCACCCAACAGGACAACCCCACGGCCTCCTCTCCCAACCGAATGACCCAACGGGAAAACCCCAAGATATCCCGTGCCCCACGGGACAACCCCAGAGCCTCCTCTCCCAGCCGAAACACCCAGCAGGACAACCCCAGGATGTCCTGTGCCCAACAGAACACCCCCAGAGCCTCTTCTACCCAACGAGACAACCCAAAAGCTTCTTGTAGCAAATGGGATAACTTGAGAATCGCATGTACCCAACGGGACAACACTAGAACCTCCTCCCCTCAATGCTACACCCCAAAAAACAATCCTGGGCCATCATCTCCCCACCGTTCCACTCACAAGAACAATTCCAGGAATCCCTCTCCCCATCGAACGAACAAAGACATCCCCTGGGCATCCTTTCCCCTCCGGCCCACTCAGAGCGATGGCCCACGCACCTCTTCCCCATCTCGCTCCAAGCAAAGTGAGGTTCCCTGGGCCTCCATTGCCCTCCGGCCAACCCAAGGTGACAGATCTCAGACCTCATGTTCCACCAAACCAGCCCACTCCTCCTCTGGCCCTACCCAGCACAATTCGCCATCCCAGACCACCTCTTCCTCCCATAACCCAAGCCATCAGAGTGCCCCCCGGACCTCCGCGCCTCTGTTTCCCATTACCCGCAGTGCTCCTCAGACTTCTTCGGAGTCCTCCCAGCCCCCATGCACTGTGTGCATTGGGCACCGGGATGCCCCTCGGGCCTCCTCGCCTCCTCGCCACTTGCAACATGACCCCTTCCCCTTCTTCCCAGACCCTCATGCATCTGAGAGTGAACCACCCCACCACGAGCCCCCCTATATACCACCTGCTGTGTGCATTGGGCACCGTGATGCCCCCCGGGCATCCTCGCCTCCCCGCCACACTCAGTTCGACCCCTTCCCCTTCCTCCCAGAAACATCAGATGCTGAGCGTCAGCCCCCCCAGCATGACCCTCCTCAGTTTCCCCCGCCTGTGTGTATTGGGTACCGCCATGCTCCCCGGGCCTCTTCCCCACCACGCCAGGCCCCAGAACCCTCGCTCTTGTTCCAGGACCTGCCCAGGGCCAGCACTGAGAGCCTTGTCCCTTCCACAGACTCTCTGCACGAGCACCGCCACATCCCCACCCCTGTGTGCATCGGGCACCGGGATGCACCCTCCTTCTCCTCCCCGCCACGCCAGGCCCCAGAGCCTTCTCTGTTCTTTCAGGACCCCCCTGGGACTAGCATGGAGAGTCTGGCCCTCTCCACCGACTCTCTGCATGGCTCCCCAGGGTCAATCCCCCAAGTGTGCATCGGGCACCGGGATGCTCCTCGGGCCTCTTCCCCACCCCGCCACCCACCCAGTGACCTCGCCTTCCTGGCACCCTCACCACCACCCGGCAGCTCGGGGGGCTCCCGGGGCTCAGCGCCTCCCGGGGAGACCAGGCACAACTTGGAGAGGGAGGAATACACAGTGCTGGCCGACCTGCCCCCACCCAGAAGGCTGGCCCAGAGGGAGCCAGGGCCCCAGGCACAGAGCCGGGACGGGGGCCGCACCCGCAGCCCTGGCCGCGCAGAGGTGGAGCGCCTCTTCGGGCACGAGCGCAGGTGAGCCCAGGGTGAGGTCAGCCTGATGAACTGGGAGGAGGCAGCAGGGCAGATGGAAGGTTCTCGGGGTCGAAGAAAGGGCAAATCTATCTGCCCTGCCACTTTCTGGCTGTACTTCATCTCTCTGTTTCTGCATATTGTGGGAGGTTTTGTTTGTTTTTAAGAGACTTCTGCTATAGGGCGCATGTGCTTACTGGAGAGACAGGAAAGTGAGAAGTCACCCCCAGGGAAAGGCCATGCTGCAATCTCTTCTCCATTCTCCTAGGATTGGGGCATGTGCACAAACATGCTTGGTATGAGTTTCAAGCTGCCCCTTCTGGGACTCGAACCATGGTTGACCATCTGGGAGTCCAGCACCCTAACCAATACACCATCTGCTGGCCCCAAGAGTTTTATTTTGTTTGTCTGTGTGTTTTTTGTTTTGATTAAGTGACTGTGCATAGCTTAATGGTAAAGAGCAAAGACTAGAGTCAGGAAGGCTGGGTCCAAATCCTGGGTCAAAATCACTCCCAACCATGGGACCAGCAGTTAGCGTAATGGCTATGTCGCGGGACTCCCACGTAGTAGACCGTGGTTCGCATCCCGGACCCTGTGGCTTAAACTCATGCTGGGCACGTGTGCTTGCGTGCCCAAGATCCCGAGAGGAGAATGGAGGAGAAGGGATTGTGGTGTGGCCATCCCCCCTGGGGGGTGATTTCTCGCTTTCTGTCTCTCTGTCTGTCTGGCGAGCGCACGTGCCCTATAGCAAAAACCTCTCAAAAAAAAAAAAAAAAAATCACTCCCCAACCTGTGACCTGGTAAAGTGACTTAACCTACCTGAGCCTGTTCCCTCATCTGCAAAATGGGGGAGAAGATTGGCGTTATTTAAATGAGGTTAGACTTACACTCTTTGTCTGATCCAGAGTCATGGGTTTTTCTTTCCTCTGCATACGGCAGAAGAGAGTGCCCATCATTCTTTTTCTTTTTTTCAAATAATGATTTATTTAACTTTCTTTATTTGCTTATTTAAATCTGACCAGAGAAGGACAGAGAAAGTGAGAGAAGAGAGAAAGAGAGGGAACCGGAACGTGAGAAAGCAAGTCACCAGGTCCAGGACTCGAACCCTGATCAGCTATGTGGGAGTCCAGTGCACTTAACCACCACACCACTGGCCGGCCCCCCATCATTCTTTTCTGCCTTCGCAATGAAAACTCCCGGGTCCCTCCCCACGCATTCCAGAAAGCAGGGATGTCCATTTAAAAATGCATGGTCACACCCTCAAGAGCTGCCATTTCTTTCCCCAGAGTTTTCCAGGGTCAAAGTTAGAATTCCATAGGTTAAGGTCGAGGGAAAACAAAACAGACGTCTGAGTGTCTTCAAGCTCTCAGTGTATGACTCACTGAATTTTAGTCTGTCTCCGGAGTTAGACCGCCATCCCTGCAGCCTAAGTTTAGAACATCTCCATCCCCCAGAAGGGCTACATAATATTGTGGATCTGAAATTCCTCTTTGATGCCCCTCAGGCAACGTTTCTCTTAGATCTGAATCTGCATGAGAAAGCTTAGCCCTGTGGTTCAGATTTCATTTTCCGGTAACTTTGAGCCATTTACTGTCCAGGTGGTCTCCAGACTAGTGTAATTCTTTCTTTGCCTTTTTTTCTTCTTCAGATTTTTGCCGTAGGGCGTGTGTGCCCTCCCAAGAGAGACAGAGAAGGAAGGAAAGTGAGAAATCACCCCCAGGGGAGATGACCACATCAATCCCTTCTCCATTCTCTGGGGATTTTGGGAATGCATGCACATGCGCCTGGCACAAGGCACAGACAGAGAGAGACAGAAAGCAAGAAATCACCCCCTGGGGGAATGGCCATGCCGCAATCCCTTGTCTTCCATTCTCCTCTTGCCATGTGCATGCACATGTGCCCAGCGTGAGTTTTAAGCCGCCAGGTCCGGGACTCAAACTTCAGTCGACTACATGGGAATCCAGCAACGTAACTATTACACCATCTGCTGGTCCCGAAGTAGATTATTATTCAAAGTTTTTATTTATTTATAGAGATTTTTGCTGTAGGGCACATGCACTCAACTCAACAGAGATAGAAAGAGAAATCATCCTCCACACACTCCGGGGGGAAGTGGCCACGCCACAGTGCTTTCTCCTCCGTTCTCCTCTTGGCGTTCTGGGCACACATGCGCACGTACCCGATGAGAGTTTCAAGCCACCGGGTCGTAATACACACTGGTGAGCCATGTGGGAGTCCAGTGATGTAGCCATTAGGCCATCTACTGGTCCCATTATTCAAGATTTTATAACTCAACTGAGTAATTACATTTCTCCCCTTATACAGTCTCATCTCCAAGTAGGAAACCATTCGTCCACTAGAGATGATATTTTTGGTCTTTTATTGATGTATTTATTTTACATTCATTCGCTGCTCCATGAAGATGATATCTTTTTTTTTTTTTTTTTTTTTTTTTAAGGAGGATTTTCACTGTAGGGCGCGTGGCCCCGC